TAAGACTTCTTCGTTGCTTACTTGCTCCGTCCATGGAATTCTTACTATCCTTCTGTAGAACCATATTTCTGTTGCTTCAAGTTTCCTTCTCACCCGTGGGGAGATTTCCCAGCATTCATTGCCATATAAACGTATCGTTAATACAGACCAATCCAGAATTCTTTTCTTTGTTTTTAAAGGTTTTTTTACTTGTTTCCCAGCACCCCGCTGTTATCACATTTTCCATCCTCTGTTAAAACACTTCCCAGATGTTTAAACTTCTGTACTTGATTGATGTTGATTTATTCATTGAGTTAACTGTTCTTTTTCAAGTTGTTGTCTTTCTCCAGGATCGTGTACTCAGTAAACGATAGTCAAGCCGAATTTTTCAGTAGACGCCCCCACCATAATTGTCGTTGACATATACACGGATGCTTTAAATATAGGTCAAAATATAACGTTCAGAAAATTGATGGATTTGACGCTTTTTTTTAATCCACGCAAAATTATAAGAAGAAACGTGGATATCCCATGACGACAGAATTAATTTAAGTGACGGACACTGATGCCGCTTGCAATCCCTTGATTTTAAAAAAAATGCGTGATGGACGAGACAAAACGGCAAATACATCGGAAAACAGGATCTCCTTTCATTTTAAGTAAAGGTAATATGCAAAAATATAAAGAGTGGGTATCACAGGTAAAGGAGATATGCATAAAAGATAAGAGAACTAACAGGACAAAAGACATGTTCATCAACAGGTTGCATAAAATCCAAGGACAAAATGGTGATATTAGAGAAAGAAAAAAATACTTCAGCGATGGAACAAATATATTGGTGAACTCTTCCACTGCTATGGTCCGGTTCCTTGTACCACGGTGATAGTCCAAGGTAGAACCAATAAAGAACTCGAAGACAGGTATGAAATAACACAGATATATTACAAACAGGAATATATACAGAGAAGTAGAAGTGTTAGTATGAACAATCAGGTTTAGTAGAGAGAACAATGTAGTCTCGACCAGTATCACTATTCCAATGTCTTGCAGTAATTGTCTGAACGCGACACTGTTTCGGACTGCCTCTGACTCGACTCTTGACTCGACTTGAACTACTGACTCCACTTAAACTACTGATTCCTTGCTCACTCCTAAGGTTCAGTATTTATTAAGTATGGAATAGTCCATTATTATTATGGGTAAGATCCCATAACATCCACGATGAAAGAGAACAACCAGCAAAGCACGGACTGTAAATATTAAAAACTGAAGAAGCTGCTGCACTGGTCAAATTGAACAGAAACAAAGTGGCAGGGACAGGCAGAATTGTAATTGAGGTGCTATCTTAGAAGATTTCAACATAGACAAGATCACAAAAATAATAAATATTTTCAGTGCATTCCCTAAGAAACCAGGTGCAAACGAATACAAACTCCACCAGACAATCAGCCTAACGAGCCATATTAAAAAAAAAACTCATCGTCCAAATTCTGATGCCAGAGATAGGACAAGAACAGTATGGATTCGTCAAAGACACTAGAACAAGGAACTTATTTATGTTCAAAATGTTATCAGAAAGTGCAATAAAAATGCAGGGCATGAGAAACTAAAAAACAAATTGACTAGATAACTATCAACAAAAGATTCAGGAATGCAGCTGTTCACTGCAAAACCTATCCAAGTGCCGACTGCAGAAGTGACCATCAGCAAATGATGTCATCCCAAAGGAGAATGAACAAAGAAGAAAAAAATGAATGGATCACAGACAAAATTCTCAACATGATGCAAAGGAGACAGAAAACAATCCCAAGACATTGAAGGAAATGCAGAATGAAATAAGGAACAAATGCAGGCAGGCTAAAGAAGAATGGCACAGTGAAAAATGTGCAGAAATAGAAAGAATGAGTATCACAGATAAAGGAAATGTGCATAAAAAACATAAGAGAACAGGACAGAAGACATGTTCATCAAGAGGTTGTATAAAACACAAGGACAGAACGCTAATATTAGAGAAAGAAAAAAGACTTCAGAGATGGAACGAATATATAGGAGAACTCTTCCACGACGTGAGGGAACAACCAGCAATGCACAGAAATACCGCACTGCCTTTAGAAACCAGACGCAAACAAATGCGAACTCTACCGGACAATTATCCAAATGAGCCACATAACAAAACTCATCATCCGAATTCTGAATCAGGCCAGTGATAGGACAAGAACAGTGCGGGTTTGGTAAAGACACCGGAACAAGGAATGTAATATTTATGTTCAGAATGCTATTAGATTTGCAATACAAATTCAGAAGGATGTGTACATGTGTTTTATAGACTGCGCAAAGGCGTTCGACAAAGTACGCCACAAAGATCTGTTAGAGCTGCTCAGCAACCTTGACATATTCGAGAAAGACATTAGAATAATCAAGATTTTTTGATTTTATTGACTGAAAGTATAGTAAGCACCGTCTGTGAGAAAAAGAGCACCATGACGCAATTCACTACACCAGAAATTTGGAAAAGGCATGCTGTACTACTTGGCATTCGCACCGGAAGCTCCAATGTTTGGACAGTACAGAAGATTTGGTAAGAGTTGGCTGAATCTAATAGTGATTACGAAGGCACGCCAGCACGGAAAATTTACTCTGATCGTTCTGATAAGTAAAGAACTCCCGAATTTTTTGGTGAGGGCTTCAGACTCAACACGGGGCCGATATCAAGTGCCTTGAGAAGGTAGTTCTGCCCTGGGTCAAGAGGGTGGTTGTTGGAAGACCCTATGTCTGGCATCAGGTTTTTGCACCATGACACACAAGCGG